GCCTCCTCCCTGCCCCGCCCACCTCGCCCCGCCCTCTCCCTAGGCCCCGCCCCTCACCCCTCCGACAGCATCTTCTTGAGCCGCTCCCGCTCGGTGGGGCCCGGGGCGTCCGCGCTCTGGCTGCGGAACAGTTTCTCTTCGCCTGGGCCATTGGCGCTGACGAGGGGGCTGGGGGGCACCTGCGGGTGAGGATGAAAGCGGGGTGACGGTGAGTGGTGGCTTCAGTCAAGAACGGCTTAGAAAGTCATAGTTGCTGTCAGGGCGGAAGTCCCTGTGGTCATGACTGGGGTCAGAGAATCTGAATTGACCTGCGGACCCCGGTAGGTCCTTCCCAGTACTGGCATCCAGGCGCATCCCTCCCGTCCTCACCCACCCTCTACGGCTCCCCATGACCCCTGGACTGGACTTCCGAGCCTCCCACCTTGCTCGGCTGGGCTTTCCCCAACCCCTGAAAACCTGATACACAATCTGCAAAGCTAAACGCTGCCCAGAATCTAATTGCTCCAAGCTGTTCCCTTGAGCACTGCTCTTCCCTGGGACAGAATTTCAACACACTGTTAAGAAAGGCGCAGGAAGCCCTCCCCAGGCGGAATTTGCATCTTGGGAGCAATCTCACTGCCTGAGCCTGCAGCCTTGAGGTCAGAGACAGCAACTTTCTCATTTCTGTCACCCCTGTACCCAGCCCCGGGTCTGGCACACGGCAGGTGCTCAATAAATTACACTGAAAATAAATGAATGGGGGTAGTGCCCACAGACAGATCGCTGTTCTGCGCACCCCCCTTAGCTTTTTAAACTTCCAGTCTTCAATTAATTCTGTCATCTGAGCTGATTTTGAGCCCAAGCCAAGCTAAACCTCCTAGGATGTGCTCCATGGCCCAAGTCCTGCCTCCACGGTCCATGCCTCAGGTCTACTGTTAGGTCATCTGTGAGCATTTTCTCCTAGGTACCACACAGTGCATGGCTGATGCAGAGATGCTAGGAGGAGGGGCAGGGAATGCTCACCTGGTGGGAGGCAAGCCCCAGGGCGGGGCTGGTAAGCTCCCCTCCATCCTGAGATTTCTCCCGAGCCAACCTTGCTGCTTCCTTCACTTCCTGGAACTTCTCAGCAAACTGGGGGGTGGAAAGCAGAGGTGAACAAACTCTCTAGCCCCTCTCCAGCCTCCCACCAGGTCACTCCCACCCACTGCCAGCATTGTTACCTTGGAAGGGAACTTAGGAACTGTGCATACCCCCTTATCTCACAAACCAAAAGGGGCAGGTTGGAAAATGATGTCCCCTTGAGCAGAATGGGTACCCTGGTGGGAGGGATGTTCCCGGAGGTGGCAGTAAGTACACTGAGAGACATTAAGAAAGGGATTCCTTTTTCCTCTCTGTCAGGCTTATCTCAACAAGGAGAGCCTCTGGCTGGTGCTGACCTTTCTTTAACACCTGTTAACATTCCTTTATAACAGAGAGAGGAGGTCTTGCACTTGGAGCCCCTGAGAGGCATCGACAGTCAAAGAGTAATTACCTGCTTCCAGTTTTCATTAAGCCAAGCGTTTACATTTACCACCTAGCTCTGGCAATTAATACTGGTTCTCCAGTTAAGATAGAAAGTGTTTTTGTGGGGCTGGGGATGTGGCTCAAGCGGTAGCGCGCTCGCCTGGCATGCGTGCGGCCCAGGTTCGATCCTCAGTACCACATACAAACAAAGATGTTGTGTCTGCTGAAAACTAAAAAATAAATATTAAAAAATTCTCTCTCTCTCACTCTCTTAAAAAAAAAAAAAGAAAGTGTTTTTGTTTGTTTTGTTTTAATTTTAAAATAAGTTCCCTTTGTTTAAACCTTTTTTTTTTTTTTTTTAAGCCAGGTGTGGTGGCATGCCCTGTATTCCTAGCTTCCTGGGAGGCTGAGACAAGAGTTTGAGGCCAGGAGTTTGAGGCCAGCCTGGGCAACACAGGCAGACCCCCATCTCAATCAATCAATCAATAAAAATGTTTAGGGTCTGGGTGTGGCTCAGTGGTAGAGCACCTGCTTAGCATGAGCAAGTCCCTGGGTTCAATCCCCAATACCTCCAAACAAAAACTTTTTAAAAAAATTATTTACAGTCACACCACTAGATTCGTGCAAAGGTATTCAGTGTAATTCACTGGGGGAAAATTATCTTTTCAAAAACAGACCCCTGAGCAGGGCAAGTTGGTGCATGCCTATAATCCCAGAGGCTTGGGAGGCTGAGGCAGGAGGATTGAAAGTTCAAAGCCAACCTCAGCAATTTAGCCCTAAGCAACTTAGCAAGACCCAGTCTCTAAATAAAATATAAAAAGAGCTTGGGGTGTGTTTCAGTGCTTAAGCAATCCCGGTACCAACCAACCAACAAACAAAAAAGCAGCTCCCTGGGTTCCATCCCCTAGCACAAACAATAACAACAACAACAACAAAATGCCTAAAAATAACTCAATATTCATGTGGGGATAAAATGAACCTCAGGCCCTACCTTGCATCACCCACAGAAATTAACTCAAGACCTAACCTTGAAAAGAACATTATAATACTTCTAGAATAAAACAGAGAAAATCTTCAGGGTACAGGAAGTATTAATCATAAAAAGAAAAAAACAGAACAATGGATACAGAAAATATCCTGAAAAAGGGAGGTAACAGCTGAGTACTGCTGGGAAATTGGGGAAGGACCCCTAGTCCAGGCACCAGGGCGATGACCTGAGGGCAAGGGTGTACCTAAAATTGAAGCAAGTGGCCAGCAGAACCGGGATTCAAACCAGGGAACTAGAAGGGGCTTATTGCTCGTCTTCCCCCCCAGAACTAGGGAATGAACCCAGGGTGCCCCACCACTAAGCTACATCCCCAGCCTTCTTTATTTTTTTTTTTAAGTTTTGAGACAGGCTCACACCAAGTTGCTGACGCTGGCCTCAAATTTGTGATCCTGCTGCCTCAGCCTCCCCAGTAACCAGGATTACTGGCATGTGCCACCTGCCTGTCTAATTCTGTGTGCCCATTCTTTTTTGTTGTTGTTGTTTCCAGGATTGAACCTAGAGGCGCTTAACCACTGAGCCACATCTCCAGCCCCTTTTTATATTTTATTTTGCGACAGGGCCTTGCTAAGTTGCTGAGGCTAGCTTTGAACTTGCAATCCCCCTGTCTCAGTCTCCTGAGCTGCTGGGATTACAGGTGTGCAACACTGTGCCTGGCTCTGTGTACCCATTCTGCCACTGAGTAGACAGAGGCCAGGTCCTGTGCACGGTCCCCTAGTGAGACCAGGTGAAGACTTAGGCCCAGGCCCATCTCTCCCCTCTGTTCCCCCCATGCCACCTACCTGAGTCAGATGCTGTTCAGAGGCAAAGCCAAGGCCGTAGACTGTGTTGGCACGACTGTCTGCCCACTGCCCAAACTTCTGGGAGGTTTTGGTGAAGGTCATGTTGGGGGTAACAGTACTGTTGATGATGGCCTGTGGGGATTCAGAGATCAAGGTTGAAGGGCCTGATGACAATGCACATGAATTCCTGGATGAATGAGCACCATTTTGTCTTAGGGCTTCAGAAGTCACTGCTCTGAGCCATTTCAGGAGGAAGAGATGGGAGCCGAGAAAGGGCCAGGGTTCCTTGTTTCCCAGAGCACCCAGCAAGGCAGTGACCAGACCCAGGCCTATCTCCTGGGGCTCTAGTGCCTATACCCCACCCAGACCCTGCCGACCTTAGCGCCCCCAATGCTGATGATGCGGTAGACATTGCGAGTGGCATCGTAGAAATAGGAGACAGTAAGTGCATGCTTGCCCGCAGGGATCCAGTTCCTCTTGGTGGCCGGGTCAATCTGGAACACGTGTGCCCGTGTACTGAAGATTGGCTGCTCCCTAAACGGGGAGAGGGGACTCAGTGGGGGACAAGCACCTCCAAGGAGCTCAGGGCTGGGTAAGGTAGGTGGGAGCTTACCTGGCTGTGGACATTGGTCAGGCTGGGCTGGGTGGGCTCTAAGGAGCAGCCAGAGGGGTGGCAAGAGTGGCTGGCTTGGCCCCTGGGGACAGAGGGGTCCTGTGAGTGTCTTCTCAGGTCAGGCTGAGAAGGCCAACAGGTCCAATCTCAGGACACCACCAGGTGTACCATTTATAGAACTTTAATCAAAAAGGCATGACAATCAGGAGGTACCAGAGAGAAAGGACCCCATCATTCTCCATTTGGGGAAAGCCCCACAACATTCTGGGCAGGAGGCAGCTCCGGAGAAGACAGGTGGCCCCTAACATGTAATATAAACTTCTCATCATTCTGGTTACTGGGCTCCCCATTGAAGCCTCTCCACCCTCGGGCTGGGTGGCAAGGCCAAGGATAACTCTGCTCAGTACTTTCCAGCACATTCAAGATTGGGAGAAGGGGGCTCCACAGCCTCCCAGTTGGTTCCAATAGCCACCGTCCCAGGAAGCCAGCAATGCTGATGGGAGGAGACTTCCTGGTCCTCAGGCATCCCCAAACCTACATCCCAGGGATCTGCAGGGGATCCAATAGGGGGTTGGAGAAGTAGGACTCCAGGAGGGGGAGGGGCGGCCCCCAGCCCGGCGCCTCCGAGGTCAGAGGGGGGGAATGCCCCCCCATCCTGTCCTGGGCAGCTGCTATCCCGGTCACAGGGTCTGAAACCGGAGCCCCTAGGTGGGGGAGGAGCGGCAGCTAAGGCCTGGGTTGGGGGCGGGTCCTGAGACTGACAGGGGCTGAGGATTGAAGGGGTCCCCGGAACCCAGGCCCTTCCGGCCCGGCGGCTCCTGCCGTGACTCGCAGCGCTTGGGAAAAGTTACTCACCAACTAGTCATGCGCCTAGGACGCCGCCGGCCGCGGGGTTCCCCAAGGGGGGTCCAACACCTCGCAGAGCCCAGGAACCCCCAATCGGGCTGGGGGCGAGACCTCATCCCAAGCGCCCCAATCCAGAGGCCTGATATTCATTCAGGATCCAGTCCCACCCGCGTCAGGAGGGCACCCCGTATGCGCCCCAACTTCGTAATGCGCCGCCCAGACCCTGGAACTTCCCCGATCCACGCAACGCTGCCTTGACTCCGGTTCCAGAACTTTGGGGACATCACTTCTGCCTCCTCCAACCCAGGTCCGAAACTTTGGGGTCCTCCCTCCCTCGCCCCGCGCTACCTCCGGCAACCCAGGGTCCGGAACTTTGGAGACACTGGCACTGATATCGACTCCAGAACTCCAGGGGACCCTGCCAACCCTCCAGTCCCTGGACTGGAACTTCGAGAACCCCCTCTGCGCCGCTCTCCCAGCCCAGGTCCGGGACTTCGGGGACCCGTTGGCTGATTTCTTCAATGCCGGGGCCAGAAATTTTGGAACCGCTCGCTCTGTCCCCTCCCCGACTCCGACTCCGGAACTTCGGGACCCCGGTGATTCCCCCAGCCCTGGAACTTCAGAGCTCCTCGTGCCACCCCCGGGCCCCGAGCCCAGAACTTCGGGGTCCCCCGCACCCTCTCCCCGGCCCTGGGGCTTGGCGGCCCCTGCGCTCCCGGCGCAGGATGGCCGGCCGGGCTCACCCTGCTGGGTCGGCGCCCGCCAGTGTCCGGGCGCGCGTCGGGTGCGGCCCCCGTGGCGGCGCTGACTCGGCGCTGCCGGGCGCCCCGCTCACTCCCTGGTTCCCCGGCCCGCGCCCTCCGCGCCGCCCTCCGCGCCGCCCGCGCCTTTGTCTGCGCCGCCGCCGCCGCCGCCCGCGCCGCCTCCGGTCCCATCGCGGCCGGTCCCGACGCGGACGCGGCCCGCCCCGCCTCCCGGGGCCGCCGAGGCCGCCCCGCTGCGCCCCCTGCCGGCCCTCGGCGGCGGGCAGGAGAGGGAGGAGGGAGAGGGAGGGCCGGGGTGTGGAGGGCAAGGGGACCCCCGGGACCGAGGAAAAGCAGCAGCGAAGAGGGGAGGACCAGGGGATGGGAGGAGGAGGAGGAGCTGGGGACACAGAGACAGAGGGACGGACATCCGGGATGAGGCAGAGACCCAGACTGGAGGAGGCACAGGAAGCAGGTGGACAGAGTTGATCAGACAGAGATGTGACCTCACTCTCCTACAGGCTTCTAAGGGTCAGTCCTGGTTTTTGCTGCCTCTGCCCTCGTGCCCGGTATCATCCCCTTCAAACAGTGATGGGGGTCAGGTCCTTCCCCCACCAGTGGAGTTGGGGAGGATGGAGGGGTGCAGTAATCATTCCCACGATCTGCATACCATAGAGCTCAATGGGTGTTGCCAGGAAACTGGAGACCTAGGCCGGGAGATGGCTGGAAGTAGGACCAAGAGAGAAACTGTTCTATCTGTCCTCCCTCCCAGCCCTGATTGGGGGTATCCGTCTCCCTCTTTCTCCCTCAAGACACCAGTAAAAAATGTCAGCGATGGTCCGTTGCGGTGGCGCACAGCTGTAATCCCAGCCGCTCAGGAAGCTGAGGCAGGAAAATCGCGAGTTCAAAGCCAGCCTCTGCAAAAGCGAGGTGCTAGGCAACTCAATGAGACCCTGTCTCTAAATAAAATGCAAAATAGGGCTGGGGGTGTGGCTCAGTGGTCGAGTGCCCCTGAGTTCCATCCCCTGTATCCTTCTCCCCAAAAAATGCCATCAAAGGATCTGGGGGTATGACTCAGTGGTAGAGCCCTTGCCTAGTAGGGGAGGTCCTGGAATCCCTCCTCAGCAAAAATAAATAAATAAATAATAAAATGTAGTTAGTTCCAGCTACTGGAGAGGCTGAGCCAGGTTGGAGGGCAGTCTGAGTAACAGAAATCCTGTCATCCAGCCCCAAAAAGAAAAGAATGGTTGAATCATTATTAAGGTTATATGTTGTTAGAGGTTCCCAGAAGCCAAGTGCTGGGGGTGTCCAGCTCCCGGATCCTGGGGACCCCCTAAGGCTGTGTTTAGCACAGGGAGCTGTCTCTTGCCACACTCGCCAGGAGACTGTCCTTCTAGAACTTAAGCAAGACCTGCCTCCTCAGTCCTGAGCCCCCCAGAGGGCCCCACTTGTGAATCCTGTTGCTGCTCTTTCTCTGGAAACTTCCCTTTGGCCCTTTGGGACCAAGGTCTGCGGTTCCCCAGAGCTCGGAGCCTCACCCTTAAATTTCCTGACTTCCTCAGAGGTTGTTGCTTTTCATCTAAGAGACCTCTGCGCTTGTCCTCTCTCCCCTTGTCTTTTATTTCCATTTCCTCCCAGCGTGAGTCACGTCCCTGAGCTGGTAGCTACCTTCCAATTACTTGTAGGTGAATTCCAGGTCATTTGTCTTTGGAGACTTACTCCCAAGCCACGATCTGAGTTCTCCTCCCTCCAGGCCTTTGCAGATCCTTCCACCCAGAATGCCCTCTCTGCGAGCATCTGTTCCTCTGTCCTTCCAGCTCCGCTCCTGCCTTCTCCAGGAAGCCTCTGAAGTCCCAGGGCTTGGAGGGATTTTGACCTGTGTCTTCCTTCCTTTCTGAGGCCACGAGGTCTGTTACCTGTTTATGATATGGGTCGGGACCAGGCTGGGTCCTTCTCTAGGGCTGCCCATCCTGGTCCCCAGCTTCGCTGAGCACAGGGGCAGCTGTCCATCTCTGTGCCTCAGTTTCCTCAGCTGCTTCTGATTCCATGAGGCATGTGCGGAAGCAAAGGATTTGGCTTCATTCTCAGGCCTGAAGCCATGAAATGCCTGAACATTGTGGGGAACAAAGAAAATACCGTCTGTTCTGTTCAGAGAGTGACTTTTTCTTATTACCAACAAAATATTTAAAAAAAAAAATAAGTATCTGGGATAGGTGCTGGAAAGGCCAAGTTGTCTGGAAACTGCTCACAGTTTGCCAAGGACTGGGCTGGCTGCAGAGCTGGGGCCATGTGGCTATTCTAGGGGGGTGGTTGGGCAAGGGGCCCAGGCAGACTTTGCTCCTTATGTGGGCAGAAACAAGAATGTGAGAGAGAGTGCAGAGTTGAGTTGCTTCCCTGGACACCCCCCCCCTCTCAGGCCTCTGGGAGGTGTAAGGACAGGGCTGGCCTGGAGCAAACTCGACCTGAAGCTGTCTCAGCCAAGTGCAAGCTGAGGGAGTAGCTTCCTCAGTGTAGCCCTCAGCTTCCTAGCCTGAAGAACGGGCTGATGGTCGCAGGGCTGGAGGTGGAGGGGAAGGGCAGGGAATGTCCAGGCAGTATCTGTCCCCTGGGTGTAGACAGGTAGGGGGCTGCCCAGAGCTCAGACTAAGCCCTCTTCTGCCTGGGACTTGAGGCCTCTCTTCCAGGAATGGGAATGTCCTTAAAGGGCAGGCAGTGGTCACCACCTGAAGGCAGCTGACTAGATGTGACAGCTGGGGGCGCAGGAGTGGTGCCAGGGAATGACCTTCGTATTATAGGAGGGACCAAGAAAGGACCAGGACAGCTCACTCGGCACTAGTGAAGCTGCATCTGCAGTGGCAGCTACTTAGCCAGCTCTGTCTCTGCCTGATTAAATCTGACTCAGTCGTTGGACCAAAGCTAAATTGCCTCTCCTTTCCCGAGGGTTCCTACCCAACAGAGTAGGAGAGGTCCAGTCACTCTTCCCCAAAGCTGTGTGTCCAGCCTCCTGGTGTGGGCCTCAGCCACCACCTCGGACCTGATTACTTCACTTCTTACACGTTCAGTCCCAGCACCTAGAGCAAGCCTAGCCGGCAGCAGTGTCCATAGGTGCTTTCAGAAAGTGGGTATCCCTAGGCCCCAGCCTTGGACCTCCATGGCCTCCAGAGTCACACGAGCCAGCCTTGCCTCTTACTAGCAGTGCAACTCTGAAGTCACTTTCCTCTCTGTGTGCCTCAGTTTCCCCACTTATAAATTGGGCATTATATGTGGTGCCCAATTCTGAGGTTTACAGTAAAGATCCAATGAATTCTTATGTAAAGAGAGCATGACCTTAGGTGCTTAATAAATGCTTGCTGTTATAAACATTGGTGATATATGGTTTTGATCCTGGACCAAATTATTATTATTATTATTATTATTATTATTATTATTATTATTATTTTGGTACTGGGAATTAAACTCAGGGGCACTGGACCACTGAGCCACATCCCCAGCCCTATTTTATATTTTATTTACAGACAGGGTCTCACTGAGTTGCTTAGTGCCTCGCTGAATTCCTGGCTTTGAACTTGAGATCCTCCTGCATCAGCCTTCCAAGCCACTGGGATTACAGATGTGTGCCACCACGCCCAGCCCTGAATGAAATTCTTAAGATTTTCATTTTCAGGGGTTGAAGGGTCCCAACAAGGCATGAGTTCTGTAGGACAGAAATGGGTCCAACCTGCATTACATCCTTGAAATTGATAGCTTCCATCCCCTTGTGTGCCCCTTCAACCAACCCCCAGTCCCGTAGCCATAGCTAGTTGGGCCAGTCTACAGACCAACTCCTATTCATCCCTCAAAATCCTGCTACCAATGCCCCCATCTCAGGAAGCCCTCCCTCCTCTTCCTCTAGACCCTCTCCCGTCCCTTTCCCTTCTAACTCAGCCTAACTCCATGGTTGGCAGTCTCTGTGTCCACCTCTCACTCCCCCAGCCTGAGTGTCCCTTGGTATACAGGGTGGACACATGGGGGCCCTGGGGAAGGGGAATTTGGTGATGTCACATTTCTTAGGGGAGACCCTGCCTTCAATTCAGAACTTAATTCTGCCCAAGACCAAACGTAATTCATTCAATGAGCAGCTCCGGGAAGCACGGAGCCAGGGTGGGGTTAGATGGTGGGGTCTGGAACTGGGTTGTGGACTTAATGTCCCAGGACCAAGGTGGGTTGGGGGTGTGAGGAGGCGGTGGGTGCCGAAGCCCCCTAAAGCTGGATCCCAGGTTCAGTTCCCGCAGAGCTAATTACCCTAGTTTGCCACATGCACTAATTACCTCCTGGGTGCCAGGTGGCTGGGCGGGGCTGCCCCATTTTTGGGAGGTAGGTCGCCCGATTATTTTTGGATTCATTGTCCTTGAAGGCTCCAACATCCACCCGCGTGGAGGGCAGAAAGTGGGGCGGAGAAATTGCGGACACATCAGCAGGGACGCCACGGCCTTGGGTTGTGGTGGCCTCGGTGCTCTCTGAGCAGAGGGGCTTGGGTGGAAGGCCTGAGGGTCTTTGGCACCCGGCCAGTGGCCGTGGGCTCTGGACTTGCTGAGAATCGGTCAGCGCCACAGCCCATTGGCCTAAACGTTTCTTTTGAACTTAGCACCGCTGGCAAGAGCGGGGCTGGGGCTTCAGGTGGACCTGGGTTCCCGTCCCCGTTCCCACTGGCCACTTCTTTGTGTCATCATTCACAAAGAGTGCTCTGGACAGAAGCATCTGCAAAGGCCCTGAGGTGGGGACAAACTGGGCCTGTTGGAAGAGCACTGGGAAGGCTGGGGTGACCAGGGCGGAATAAGGGTGGGGAGGTTGCTGAGACCCGCGGTGGGCGTCACAGGAGCTCAGCAGGCTTTGTGGTGAGGTCTGGGTTTAGTTCTGAAGGTGCTGGGGAGCCATGGGAGAGTTTGGAGCCGGGGAGGGAGGAGCACATTCGGCTTCCTACCACCAGGCCTGGGCAGGGATTCGGCTCTTAAAAGGGAACAACGACGAGGTGTCTGTACCCGGGGAGAACGGAGACCGACCCAGCTTTCTCTGAGCCCTGGTTTCCCCATCCTGAACAGTCCTTAGACGCAGGTAACCCCGGGATCCTCTGGGCCCTCGCCAGGGAGGCCCCCCGACCTGGAAGCTCCCGGGTGCTGGTGGAGCAGCCTCCCTCCAGCCTCCAGCCTCCTCGCCACTTGCCCCCCCCACATCCCACGCTCCTTCTGTGGCCTTCAGGGAACAGCTGGGGAACAGAGAGCGGGAGGCCGCGGGGAAGGCGGCATGGAGGGGCTCCGGGGGCCGTGTTCCTGCTTGGTGACAGCCCACGCGGGGCCTCTGGGCGCCGAATGTTCTCCCAGCAGCGCGTGACTCAGACACCACAGCCTCCTCTCTCGGTGTGCCAGAGGAGGCCGCTCCTGGTCCTTGGCACTGTCCTGATTGGTGGCCAGCAGCCTGGCTGTGTCCCCTGGGATGCCAGCACAGCCCCCTCACCAGGGAAGCCTCCCCCCAGCCACACTGCTCTTTCCCCTGCCCCAACACCTTCCATGAGCCTCACGGAGGCTCAGCCTCCTTCCTGCCTGTGGGTCGGGCCCCACCTATGGCCTAGACCGCCAACTCGGAGACCCCCTCCTCCAGGAAGCCTTCCTGGCTCCCCTGCCAACTCCACCAGCTCTGGCACCTCAGGAAGCAGGGGGTGGTGGGGGGCAAGGGGTCTGAGCCTGACTTTGCCTCTTCCCCAGAATGGAGTCTTCTTGGAGGCCAGGCCAAGCCAGGCCTCTCAGGGGCCACACCTTTGTCCAGTGTAGGGGTGCTCAGAGGGAAACCTGGAAGGAAGACAATCACTGTGGCAGCTCAAGGCCAAGGCTGGGCCCCCGTAATCTGCCTTTTGGCCTGTGCTTTAACCTCCTCTGCTGAGTGTGGGTGTGGGTGTGTGTGGTTCTAGGGATGGAATCCAGGGCCTCACTCTTCCCGAACCACACCCCCAGCTCTTTTTATTTATTTATTTTTCGACACAGGATCTCACTAAGTTGCTGAGGCTGGCCTTGAACTTGCAATCCTCCTGCCTCAGCCTCCTGAGTTGCTGGGATGACAGGCGTGGGTCACTGTGTCTGGCTACGTAGGATAATTTCCGACAGCATCTTGTGAGGAGGAAAATCAGGTAAAACCACAGACCAATTCTAGAATGGTTGTTGAAGGCCACCCTGAGGAGGAGCTGATTTAGGGGAAAGGTCCTAAGGGAGAATGCGCTCAAGCCCCTTGGAGCAGCCTTGAGTGGGTGTGGCTGGAGCAGAGTGAGGGAGAGAGTCAGAGGTGCGTGGGCAGAGAGGTTCCCAGGCTTGGGCATGAGGAGCCTTGTGAGCCCCAGTGAGGAATGTGGGCTTTGGAGTCAGAGTACTGGGGAGCCACAGAAGGCTGTTTAGCAGGAGAGGGGCATGATCGGCTTTTCCATCATTAGATAAGATTGACCAGGCAGCCACATAATGATAGACGGAGGCTGGTGAATCTAACGCAGCTCTCACCGGCTACTGCATAGGGAGGCGAGCCCAGGACCATGCCTGAGAAACACGCAGCATTGTTATTATCACTTTCATTATTTTTCTAGGGATGGCCACAGGCTCAGAGCTCATATCCCTCCCAGGGCCTTGGGGAGGAAGCTCATCTCAATAACCCCTTCCTGTCCTGTCCTGCCTTCCTCTCCCTCACAAGGCCCTGACGGCCGGCTCCGGGTCTTATCACTGAGATCCCAGGCACCAATGGGAGGGAAACATCTGCTTCCGGAAGCAGGGAGATCCTCCACCCCTCACAGGGGACGCAGGCTGGGGAGGGAGGACCCCTACAGGAAGGACCAGAAGGGTTATATGTAAACTGGGTATGGTGGCCCACACCTGCAATCCTGGCCACTTAGAAGGTTGAGGCAGGAAGATCACAAGTTCAAGACCGGCCTCAGCAACTTAGTGAGATCCCGCCTCAAAATAAAATCATATAAAAAGGGCTGGGGATGTAGCTCAGTGCGAGCACTAGCCTAGCAAGTGTGAGGGCCCTGGACTCCATCCTCAGCAGCTCCAAAAAAAAAAAAAAAAAAATTTGGGCCCCACTTCTCAAAATCCCTTAACTCTGTTAAATAAATAAATCCCAAAGTAAATAGGAATCAAAAGGCCAGAGTTAGGGAAGGGGCGTCAGTACCCCTAGCCATCTGCTCCACCATCCCATCGTATCTGTGGTTCTTCAGGTTTTGGGGTTCTTCTGAGCTGGTGCTAAGCTGAGCCCTCAGGGGTCTCTTGGGGGCACTGCTGTTCTAGGGGCAACGCCAAAGGAGGTGATGCGCAGAAGTAGGGAGAGTGGAAATCCAGGTGGCGAGTGCTAAGGAGTCAGCAGTTAGCATCCTTGGGGTGCAGGGAGGTGGGGCCTTCCTGGGGACCTGGCTGCACGTGTGAGTGAGGAACACGTGGGTAAACGCAGGCGTATCGACCCAGGAGAGCGGCCACACCTGTAGGGGCTCATTCAGATGAGATTGGGCACATTCAGGGTGGTATGGATTGGGGGCACCTTTCAGAGAGCAGCTGGGACACCATGGTGATGCTGGAGTCCATGTCACACAGTGTAACTGGTCACAGTGACTTCCAAGTCATACCTGCTGAAGACCTCCGCCCCCTGGCAGCTGTGGTACCTGCTGGCGTGGGACTCCGTGGTGTGGAGCAGCACCAGACCCTGAATAAAGAGCAGGAGTCTGGAGTCTGGCAGGAGGAGGCGCCCTGGGAAAGCCCCGTGGAGGGCAGGCTGGAGATGGGCTGCCATGCACGGGGATGCTGGAGCCCCCACCATGGAGGCTGTCTATACGGGGCTCTCTGGGGGTAGCCAGCATGCTTAGAAAACATGGTAGTCCAAGCCCCACCCTTCCAATCCACCTCTTGTTTGTTCACTCACACATCCCCCATCTGTCCATCTATCCATCCATTATCCATCCCATTCATCCATCCATCCTATCCATCCATCCATCTATCTATCCATCCATCCATCCTATCCATCCATCCATC